CCACTGGGAGGCCATGACATTTGAGCTGACACAAAGGGGGGAGAAGACAGGCCTCGCTTCTCCTCCCTGAGCCTCAGATTCCCACTCTGTAAAGTGGGATATGAGTACCAAGCTTATATGTTGTTGGAGGAGAAAATGGGAGTGTAAGAAGCCAAACCCAATACCTGACCAGACTCAGCAGACATTAAATGAGAGGAAATGTTATCAGCACCATCATCACAGACACCATTATCATCACTGTCACCACCATCAACACCACCACCACCATCACCACCACCACCACCATCCACCAACATCACCACCACCACCATCCACCACCACCACCATCACCACCACCTTCACCACCACCACCATCACCACCACCACCACCATCCACCAACATCACCACCACCACCATCCACCACCACCACCATCACCACCACCTTCACCACCACCACCATCACCACCACCACCACCATCCACCAACATCACCACCACCACCATCCACCACCACCACCATCACCACCACCTTCACCACCACCACCATCACCACCACCACCACCACCAGCATCACCATCATCACCACCACCACCACCATCACCACCACCTTCACCACCACCACCATCACCACCACCACCATCACTATCAACTATCATCACCATCACCATCATCACCATCATCACCATCACCACCATCACCACCATGATCATCACCAACATTATCACCAACACTATCACCATCATCACCATCATGATCACCATCACCATCATCACCACCACCACCATCATCAGTTCCCAGTTCACGTTGCTCTCTCTCCTCTCCTGAGATCAGCAGAGGGCAGCGCCTATAGATCAGGGACTTGGTCATAAGGTAGCAGGACATAAAACTAAAAGAACAGTACCTGGAAAATGTTAGAGAGGTCCCTGAGGTTGAAGACATAATGAAACTTAATGGCCGTGGGAAGAAATGTTGCTGTGATTTTCTGATGCAAGGCTGTTATAGGAAAAAGACACATCGATTCTTATATACTCTTAATGGCCCCAGGAAGTGCAGAGCTTAAAGTTTCGAAAGCAAATGGACTATGAAATGGTGACAATTTAAGTAAGAAATCAGCACAGCCCTTCAAAGAGGGGGGACGTTTTCTGCCCTGCTGTTAATCATTTCTGTACACTGAATTTCCTATGTTCCACCCACCCCCACCCACCACCACCGAAGCAATTATATTTCACAATATCTCCCGTGGAAACAGAGCATCATTTAAAAAAAATTGATTTAAAAGTATAAATAAAATATTTACCAGGGGAAAATACGAAGAACCATCAGCCCCTTAAAGCTGTAGGTTTTACTGACAGGGGAGGGGGCGAGGCTGGCCAGCTTACCCAGGGCGGAGGCCACCAGCTGGCTGCTCATCCTCTGAATCCCCATGGGGACCGAGCGGTAGGCCAGGTGCTGCGTGAGGATAGTGTTGTAGATGGTGGTCAGGGCCTCCTGGCCGGGGAAGCTCACGGCAAACACGCAGAAGTGGCGCTGCCCCAGAACAAACACAGACTCCTGTCAGGCAGCTCCTGGGGAGCAGTTCATGGCCGGGGCCGCCTTCTTAGGAGAGCAGACCCTGTCCTCACTGTGTAATGGCTTTGGGGCATGGTCACAGTGGGCAGTTTTCCTCTTTGCATGGGGCAAAGTCACATTAAATATCGATTGTATGTGAAACAACCAAATTCATGCTCTCATGAAAAATTTTGGCAGAGGCCAAAGTGTGGCTCAGAGTGCAGGCCCGGCTTTCTGCTCCTGCTCTCCCTATGCTTAGATAACTTAGAGTGAGGTCTGTCTGCGCAGGGCTACGGACATAATACAGGGTGCCCTGTTAAATCTGAATTTCAGAGGAACAACAAGTGCATATTTTTTAGCATAAGGATGTCTCAAGTATTGTGTGTGACATACTTATATTAGTAAAGATTTAACTGGGCATCTGCATTTTTATCCATTAAATCTGGCAGTCATAAGGGGGGCTGGATGGCTCTCGCCTTCCCGGCCCCCCAGAATTCCCTGACACATTCCGAAGGGGTAAGAGTTCTTCAGGGAACATCAGCCCACAGCCCTGACATCCAAAGCCAGTGCTTTTATTCTCATTTGCTAGAGCAAGCGCAGGGCTGAGGCAGGTGGCTGACGTGAGTTTGCTTTCTGCTTACCTGCAGCCTGGGGTCTATGGTGAAGGATCCGGAAGTGGGATTCATGCAGGCCACATACTGACAGTGATGGACGTCCTTTAACGTCAGCTTCTGCCTGTCATACCTGTGGGAGGGAGGCCAGCGTTAATGCTGTGTCCCCTCCTTGCCCCCCAAGAATGCTCTGCATGTGGTTAAAAAAAAACAAACTCCTCAATAAATATTGATTATATGTGGAACAGCCAAGTTTACTTCATGCCCTCATAATTTTGCAATTGGAGGCAAAAGGGAGACTCAGACTGCAGGCCTGGGTTTATAGTCCACCTCTTTCATTGAGTAGTGTCGGGACGGTGGGTAAATTGGATAGTCTCTCTGTGCGATGGATCAGGATGAAGATTAAATGAGGCAATGCATGGAAAACACTTGGAAGGTGCTATGCAGTAAATGGGTCACTCAAAGTTTCATGTGTGGAGACTTGACCCCCATCCTAACAGTGTTAAGAAAGGGGTGGAAAATCCAATTATGGTAATTGAAAGGTGGGGCCTTTAAGAGGTGATTAGATTGTGAGGACTGTGCCCTAGTAAATGGATTGATCCACGCATGGAGTAACGAACGTGATTCTGATGGCTTTAGAAAGAGCAAGTGACAATGGGCTCTCTTGCTCAGCCCATTCTCACCGTGTGATACCCTGTGCTGCTATAGAGAGTCACCAGGTCAACAAGAAGGCCGCTCTCAGGGGCGTCCCTGGACCTTGGACTTCCCAGCCTCTAAACTATAAGAAATAAATTTTGTTTCTTTATAAATTACCTAGTTTCAGGTATTCTGTTATAAGAGCAGAAACAGGCTAATGCACAAGAGTGCCTGAAGTACCACAGCACGCGATGAAGTTGACCACCCCCTCTATCATTATAAGCGTTCCAGGCTGTTATTATTAAATAGGCTGAATAATCTCCTTGACATGAGCAGATGTAAAACTTCCAGGGACTCGGGTGAGTATAAAGGGTATAAAGAGTCTGTGCGTCTTCTCGTGTGCTCATCACCTTTGGGGTTTTTCCCTCTTATGCCTGTTCTTTGTGTTGGGGGTTGTTGCATCTTGCTGATTTACAGGAATTCCTGTGTACTCCACTGTCTGATCTACTGTCAGTTTTAGTCATTGCAAGTACTTTCTCCCAGTCTGTTAACTATTATATTTGTCCACAGTGTTTCTTGTTGAGTGAACTTCCTTAATTTTACTATAAACCACAGTCATCAATTATTTGCCTTCTGGTTTATGCTTTTGAAGCTTTTGCTTGAGAAGTCCCTCCCTGCCCACGCCTGTCTCCAGGTCACGGCGATAATCTCCTGCACTGTCTTCTATCAGCTTCACAGTTTGCCTTTTGCTTGGAGGTGTGTACTCCACGTGGGGCCCCCTCGCCCGTGTGTGAGGCAGCATTCTGGGTTGACCTTTTTTCCATGAATGAGCTTTTCCCTAACACGTCCTGACATGTCCACTAAACGGTCCATCTTTCCCTGTCATTGTGGGGCCACCTTTATCTGATGTTCTAGAGGGATCTTTTGAAAACTCAAATCTGACCATGCCACCCCTCCTGAAGATTCTTCAGGATAAACTCAGGGTAGGTGTGGACCCAGGGCCAATGCTTAACAACATTGAGGGCCCTTTTTAAGGAAAAGCGTACAAAAATCTGAGCAAAGTTCGAAAGAACTTTTGACTCTGTGGAGCCACTTTGAGGGCTTGGAAGGGGCCTATGTGAGTGAGGGGCCGAGGCTGAGTCCTCCTGAGCCTCACAAGAGACCCACTGGCGTGGGGGAGGGACACGCTGGGCCTCATAGTTCCCCCACCTTCCTCTCCTGTCTTGGTACCTTCAGGTTCCCATCCCACACCACTTTCAGTTCCTCAGAGATGTCACTCTCTCTCCAGGCCCCATGTCTAGAGTGGCTCCCTTGGCCCGGCCTTGTCCCCTCCCCAGGGAGTCATCCCTGACACCTCTTGTGCCCATGTCACAGCCCACAGCTCACTGTCTGCCTCATCCTCGTCCTGCTGGGTTAGAGCCACTCACTGGGGAAAAGGCGAGCAACAGGGTGAGACATATCTGGACTTGAAGTCCAGCTCTGCCACTTATGAGGGCCGTGGCCTCCAGCAGACACCTTAGCCCCTCTGTGCCTCCATTTCTTGGCCCCTGAACTCACTGACTGATTTCTGGGGTTCCTTTGGTCTCAGAACTGCCAGGTTTGGCCTGGACTACTTGCTTATTTGAAGAGACAACTGAATGGATGGATCTGATCGTTCCAAACAACAAAACTAAACACACCGCCCTTGGCTTCCCAGTGCCCTTGGGAGAGAGCCCACCCTCGGTCCAGCTGCCCAGAGGTGCTGGGTCTGGCTGCAGCCGCTGCGCACCCTCCCCAGCTCTCACAGCCCAGCCGCGTTGGCTGTGGGCTCCTCCACGTGCCACACTTTGTGCACGGCATTCCCTCTGCCCTCAGAGGTCCCACGGCCGGTCCTGAGTCAGCCTCCAGCTTCCGGCTGCGCTGCGGCCTCCCCAGGGGCACCTCTGTGACCGTCCCGGGGGCTTTCCTCAGAGCTCTCCCTGAGCTCTGTAACCGCACCTCTTCCTCCCCCGCCAGACCACACGTGGGAGGGGGATCTGTCCGTCCGCCCTCCGTGGGGGCTCTAGGCCACAGCTGCTAACATGTTTGTGGAATGGATGATGGGATGAGACCTCGATGTGACCTTTTCACTGCCCTGTGGCCCTGTAGTGCTGTGGCTCCTCACGCCACCTCTGTGGCCCATCCCTGCAGAGCCCCCCATGGACTGACCTGCCCCATGGCCTTGCCCCCAGCACAGGTCGACCCGTTGCCCTGCCCTGAGGCCCCGCCCCCATGGCCCCAGGATCCGACCCATGCCCTGGCCATGCCCCACAAAAATGCCCCACACCCACCGGCCCCGCCCACTGCCATGCCTCACAGCCATGCCCCCACGGTCCCACAGTCCCATCCATTCCCACGGCCCCCCCACGGCCCACCCTCATAGTCCTGTGGTCCCACCCCACTCCATGGCCCTGCTCCCATGGCTCCACCCTCAGGGTCCCATCCCACCCCCCTGGTCCCACCCCATAGTCCCGTGGTCCCACCCATCCCCTGGCCCTGCCCAGCAGCCCCATACCAGTGCCCGTGGTCCATGTGCTGTCGGATGAGGGTGTGTGGTGCCACAGTCCCGTACTTGTCCACCTCGGGCATGTTCATGTCGTCGATGAAGTAGATCAGCTTCTTGGTTCCAGGGGGCCCGTAGTTCCTCCCCGATTTCTTCTCCAGTGGCTTCTCCAGCACCCCTGGAGAGGGCAGAGGCTCAGCCACCACCCCCTGAACCCCAAGCCTGTGCCTGTGAGATCCTGGCCAATGGGTGGGCTTCCACGCATCCCAGCTCTGGGGATAAACAGAGAGGGTCAGAGGCAAGGGTGGCAGGCACCTTGCCCTCGGTCAACCTTTGGGCCACCTCGGATTGATTATGAGATGCTCCCGTGGGACCCACCTCCTCAACGGGTGGTCCACATGCCACCACCATAGCTCTGCTGCCTGGGGTGCCGGAGGAGGGGTCCTGGCTACTACTCAGGGGGAAAGGTGGGGGGGTGCATGGGCAGTGAAGAGGTGGCAGCAGCTCCCTGGCCCTGCAGTGAGAGGGACAACGGGGAAAGGGGGCAGGGTGGGGGCGGTGGGCGGCCGTGTGGACCGAGCCTGCCGAGAGTGGCCAGGCTGGGCCGTGAGGACCCGCCCCGGCCCTGGCCTCACCCTGCAGCATGGCCGAGGTCGTGTAGAAGTTGAAGGGCACGGCCTGCACCAAGTAGTCGTCTGTGCTCAGGCTCTCCAGCTTGTCCCCCATCAGCACCGACTTGCCCGTCCCAGCGTTGCCCACCAGCATCACCGGCCACGAGTGCCCCATGAGCAAGTCCATGAAGTAGCGGATGCGGATGGTTTCTGTGGTGTGGACCAGAGAGGCCTGGGCGGGAGGGGAGCCATGGCTCAGACAACACGTCCAGTGCCACCTTCCGACCCGTCCCACACTCTACCTCCCGGGTCCCACCGTGGGAAACCGTCTGCGTTTGGACGTTCTGTCCAGGTGTGCATGGTCTACACCAAGTCCTGCTCCTCGGCCACCTCAGGCGGTCACCACTGTGGGCAAAGGTACCTGCAGCGGAACGTCAGGGTCCAGCTCAAAGGCGGGCACTCTGTCTGTCCACGGCAGGAACTTCTTAGTGTCAGGGTCAATGTAATAGTCAAAAATCGTGCCCTGCGAGGGGAACTTGATGGTTTTAAATTCATTGATCCACCATTTGCTGAATTCGACTCGATAATCTACAAGCTGTTAAAAAACAAACAAACCAGAAAAAAAGGGCCCAGCTCAGAGGGACGCCGAGAGACCTCGCTGGGGTGGCCAGGTCCCCGCCGTGCCATCACCTGGTCCTGGAACATGGCGCCACCGAAGGCCCAGGAGCAGGCAAACACGAAGTAGAGCTCGTACAGCTCCTTGGGGGAGTCGGGGGGTGCGTTCTTCTCCGTGAGGAGGCACTCGAGGAGGTACAGGATCATCTGGATGACCGTGATCTCGGGCACCGGCGTGATCTTCTTAAACCCGAAGCGCAACTTGTCCAGGCACGTGGGCAGGTACTTGTCAAAGAGGATCATCAGGTTGGCCTTTTCAGACTGCACCTTGCGCCTCTCGATCCAGCTGCTCACCACCCTGGGGAAGACAGGGAGGGGCTTTGGTTCCACTAGAGTCCTTCCCCTCGGTAGATGCCTCTTGCCCCCTCCACATGGTTCTGGTGGGGCAGCCACAGAGGCAGGACCGTGACTCGGATTTGCCACTCCTGCACGGCAGTGGGTCTAAGCAAGGGTACCAGCAGGGCCGTTTGCAGACCCTGTGAGGGTCTGGTGAGGATGCCAGGACGGTGGAGGTTGTGCTTTCTGTGGGATTGCTAGCTATGGGGGTGCCGTAAGCCTAGAACAACGGGGAGCCATTCTTGCTACCACCTGGGAAGCATCTGCCCACAAATGAAGCTGACACTGCAGGGGTCAGCTGGGGGGTGAAAGGAGAAGAGACGAGAAAGACCTCATGGCATCATCTGAGGGGCAGAAAGGAGGGGATGGGAAGGGAAGAGGAGAGAAGAGGAGGGAAGAGAAGAGGGGAGAGCAGCAGGGCCATCTTGTTACATCATCTGGGCTCCTGGATCCAGCTGTGCCTGAAGCACGCCCATGGTGACTTGAGGCAACAGAATTCTTTTTGCTTCATTTACTCTGAGTTGAATTTGTCATGTTTGGTGGACAAGTCCAAATTAATACAATAGGCAATGCTTGAGGGACCATGTTGGACTGTCTGGCACACACGCCTCTGGGGCGTGGATGGCCTGGGCTTGAATCAGCTCTGCTGCAGCCAGCTTTGGCCTTAGGTGAGTTACTTAACATGTCCGGGGCCCAGTTTCTCCTCTGAAAACAGGTGTGATGTTTACATCACCACCACTCCAAAGGACTGCCTGGGCTGATATTTTTAAAGCTCATAGAAGGTAGCCTAGACCACAGTAAGTGCCAAGTAAGTGTCTGCTAAAAGCATAAGTTGCATCCAGCTCCCTCGAGGGTCAGCGAGCTCAGCGTGTGCGTCATTTCCAGGATGCCCGCAGTGTAGGCAGGAAGCTCACGTTACTCACACAGCTAGCCTGCCATCTGCAGCCCGGCACGCACGCCTTTCTGTGGGTGCGCTCTTGTTCTGGGGACTCTGCATCTTCCCGCACCTCTACCGGAACAGAGAACTGAGGGCTGAAAACCTTTGCCCCAGAGCACCCTGGATCATCCAGCGTAACAGGGCAAACCTTCATGCAATCCACATCTCCAAGCAAAATGCGGTGTCTCCATGCCTGGCACGGTTAAGGACTGAATTCCAAGTCCAGCTGGTCTTCAGAAGGGGAGACCAATTTGCAAATCCACACGTAGACTGCTGTGTTTGTCTTCTACTTCGAAGGTGTTTATGTCAAATTTTTGATGTTGCTTTGGTGGCAGTCATTTAGTGCATATGCATGTGTGCAGTGGCTTTGATTTGCAAGCCCAGAGAGACATGCACTTGTGAAGGCAGGTCCACTCTCTCGCCCCTGGCCCAGCTTCCTGCCCTGCTGCCAGGGTGGCTCCTGGCCTTGGGTCGCTGCCTCCCCTTGCTGCCTGCGAGAGGGCTGCACCTCCTTTCTGAGGCCACCAGCCTGCCTCTCATCCACTTCACTTCTCTCCTCTGGCAAAGCCCAGTCTCCTGCTTCCTCTGGGATCGTCTGGTTCCCGCCTCTGCACGCGCCAGCCCAGCTTCCGCTTCTCTCCTCTCTGCTCCCACAGGGTGTCCCCCTGAGCACCCCACAGTCCTGTCTTCTTCCTGTCTCCCTGCATCTTAGCAGCTCCTATCTGGATTTCATTTCAGTTTCCTTACCCTTGTCTTCTGCCCACCCTGAAAACCCTCTAACATGATGTAGTGGGCAGAATGGTGGCCCTGCAAAAAGCGTGTCCACCCAGAACCTCACATGTGATCTTATTTGGAGAAAGGGCCTTTGTAGATGTAATCGGGTTAAAGATCTTGAGATGAGAGCATCCTGGATTAGGGTGAGTCCTGAATCCAATGACTGGTGTCCTTATAAGAAGAGGCAAATTTGGACACAGATACACAGAGAAGGCCACATGAAGACAGAAGCAGAGGTTGGAGTGACATGTCTATAAGCCAAGGAGCGCCAAGGGTTGCTGGGAGCCGCAGCAGGTGGGAGAGAAGCATGGCACAGATTCTCCCTCAGAGCCTCTGAAGAAACCAACCCTGCTGACACCTTGATTTCAAACTTCTCGTCTCCAGAATCTTGAGACGATCAACTTTCTGTTGCTTGAAACCACCCAGTGTGTGGTCCTTTGCTGCGGCAGCCCTAGACCACTGATATAAGTGGGCAGGTGTTGCTGGAGATGACGGCACAGTGGTGCCTGGTGTCCGTGGCTCCCAGCCCGCTCCCTGCAGGGGACTTTCCTCTCCATATGCCTCCCAAACCCAAGCCTCACCATGCCACCTGTCCCCAGTTCACAGCCTCTCTTCCCACTGCAGAGAGCAAAGAGTCACTGGAAGCACAGACTCATGAAGGGTCTTTCCTCTCCACCTACAGACTTGTGTGCGCCTGGAAACGCTTGGGCCTGCTCCCCACGTCCGAACACCGTTCTCACCTCGACAGAGCAAACCGCCCTGCGTCTTCCTCCAGCTGTCCCTCCAGCACTCAGACACCTCATTTTTAGCACCTCCTACCGGTTCATCCTCAACTCACTGTCACTGGCCTCTGTCCTCACCGTGCCATGAAGCCATTTTTCCTGTTATTCAGGAGCTTACAGTTGCCAAATCTAGCGGAAGCCTTTCTCTCCACGGCTTCCTTGGCTCTCTGGAGGCGACCCTCTTCCTGCCTGACCTTTCTTCCTCCATGAGTGTCTGGGACGCCGTGTCCCTGGTTTCCCTTCTGCCTCTGGGGCCGTCCCTTCTCAGAACCCCTCACAGATTCCTCTTCCTCCCCAACGCAGTGTTGGGTTTTCTCTGAAAACCAGCTTCTCTAATCACTGCTCACACCCTTCCTAGAGAATCCAGTTCTCTGGCATGGAATATCCTAGGGTCGGTGTGCAGAAGGGACTGGATGGACGAATTAAAGAATGAATGAACCACTGACTCCAGCCAAGAAGTTTTTCCTGAGCCTCTTGCTCCTGGAATGCTCCACTGGGATTTCTACTCAAGTCAGTGCAGGACATTTGCTCAATGCTGTCATTTCTGTGTCCCCAGAAAATCCCCTACTCTGTCAATGACTAGCCGTGTGTCCAGGCAAGAAAACGTGCCTCCAGAGTCAATATCAAGGCTTTGATTTCACAATGTTTCACACATTGCCGAAATCCATCCCCTCTTCTCCCACCTCCAACGGCCACCCATTGTCCGCGGGCATGACGGATTCTCTTGTCAGAAAGGACCCCTCGTGCCCGGTCCTGCACGTTGGTCCAGCTCCCATCCCTTCCTGCCAACGACGCGCCCACCCTGTACACTTTATCCAGAAACACCCGACTACCGCCCATCCTGGGAACCTCAAGCTCTCCCCCTCGAGGCTCCCGTGAATGCTGGTTTGCATCTGGAATGCCGCCCCCAGTTTTTGTCCACCTAGAAAGTTGTCTCACAGGTGGCAGCCCAAGCTTCAGTCCTCTGGGAAGACTTCCTGTCTCCACGGAGGCCCAGACCCTCCCTACCTTACTAGCACCGGGAGCTCCCAGCACTTGGTGCAAACCTGCGTTTCATCAGCTGCCAGGTCGCAGGGTCAGGTGCATCTCCATCAGTTTTCTACACCTCTCTGGTCCTTTCAGTGCCATGCCCCTGGTGCCTGGTGAGGGCTGGGCACCCTGTACTTATTACATAAATGAGTGAATGAAATAAGCCACCAACCTCATCTTTCTCTGCCACAGCTTGGAATGGGAGAATGAAAAACCAACTCACGGGGCCGGCCCGGTGGCGCACTGGATAAATGCGCCGCTTGGGAAGTGCCGTGGCGCTCCTGCCCGAGGGTTCGGATCCCACGTACAGACCGGTTCCCGCTCACTGGCTGAGCGAGGCGCAGGAGCGACCCCAAGGGTTGCGATCCCGTTGCCGGTCCCCGGTCCGGTGCGGGGGCAACACTGAGGGTTGCGATCCGTTGCCGGACACGGAAAAAGAAAAAAGACAAAAAAAAAAACCAAAAAAAAAACCAACTCACGGGTTCCAGCCTAGATCCGCCGGGTTGATGTAAAGTATGCCGGCTCTGGAGACCGTGGCCGGGGTGGCCGTCCTCAGGTGGCTGATCTCAAACACCAACCTCATGGTGCGATTCAGGGGGATACGCTCGTTGCTGGCGAGGGTGAGGACCTGGGAAGGGGCACAGCAGGACGTGGGTTTTCAGCAGCAGATGTGTGTTGTCCTGATGGGGCTCTGAGATGTGTCACACCGGTGGCATCTCAGAGCAGGGAGGAAGTTGGGGAAGCATCTCACCATCCCCCCCCCTCGCCCCGCCTCTGTCCCCTACCCAGCTCCAGGACAATTGAGCACTTTCTCAGCCTGCATACGATGGAGGACTCACTACAGTGTTGAATTTCCAAACCATAACCGCCCCTCCTCCCCGGGAATTCTCACGTTCCTTTCTCTGCCCAGTTGAGAACTGTTTTAACATTAGCCATCGTTTCCATGTTATGCCACTTGGAGTATCAACTGGAGAAGAACGCTTCCTTACCCTTAACCCACGCTGCTGCTAGGCGGTGTCTAAGACGGGGCGTCTGCAGAACTGCACCGCGTGTGGGAACCATCTGGCGACGAGGTTCCAGCCTCCAGCCAGATCTGTGTGTTGTGTGCAGCGTGTCCCCCCAAGCCTCCTCTGCTCCTTCCTCATGGCAGCTTTGGGCGTCAGCTCTAGAACACTGGAGCCCACCTACCTTGTTGTCATCCATGACGGTGTTCAGTGACTCGATCCACATAGGGTCTATGTCCCCATCAAGAATGATCCACTTGGGGCCATCGTGGGTGATGTTGGCCAGGTCCCGCATGATGGTGGAGAAGAGCCCTGCAAGAGGGCACGAGCAGAGATCGTGTGTCATGCGACGTGAGGGGGCGATACAGTCACGGGGATAAAGTGGGTGCAGGGCTGGGGGGAGTGAGGGTGCTGCTTCAGATGGGGGAGCCGAGCCCTCTGCCTGTCTGCATGCACCCCCAAATGCGAGCCTGCCCAAGGGTCCTGTTTGGGGGGCCCGGCCAGATGCATGGTAAAATCTCAGTGACATTCACTGCCCTGACCTGGGTGGGAATAAAAAGGGCGTGAGCCCACGGCACCCCGCGGCACCCCACGGCACCCCGCAGCCCCACCGTGGGCCACAGCTCCTGCTACCATCTTTCCACTCCCTGGTCGCTGGGTTGATGATGCCAAAGAGCTCGTCACAGGTGACAGCCTTGGGGTCCAGGTCCACGGCCACCGGCTTCCTCTTCAGGTTCTGGTAGGTCTTGTTGAGGGATTTGAGGACCTGGGCCAAGGCGGGAGGTCACATGCGTGACTCAACGTCCCTGACCGTGCTCCACCTGCACCCAGGGCCACATGCTCAGCCTTATGGGACCTCAGTGCCTTTTATTGACCACATGCTGAAGGCCCTCTCTGCATCAGGGTTGCTTTGGAGGCATGCAGGTGAATTTGTGTCCCCCCCCAGCTGTGATCGAGGCAGACGTGACCTGCTGCTTGGGAGCTGACAGCCTGGAGACTGTGCCAAGACCTGAAAATGCTCACGCTGGTGTCCTCCTCATAACATGAGTGCCACATGCTCATTGAAAAACTTTGAAGGGAAGAAAACTACCCATAATTGCTCCACCCAGAAAAAAGGAGTTTTAAGGACATTTGAGGATATTTCGTGTGTGTGTGTGTGTGTGTGTGTGTGTGTGTTCCTTTTAGAAAATTGGGTTCATACTGTTCTGCCTTTTAAAAAGTAACTTGCCGTGTGTTTCCCCCATGTTATTAGTTTTGGGAAATGATCTTTAATAATAGCATAACAGTCCGTCCTGTGGAGGTCTCGCTGAGCACTTGGCTCGTTTATAATTTTCCAGTGTTACAGACAGACATTAGGGACATTAGCTGCATGCCACAGCTCCCTTCCTGGCCCATGACAAGTTTCAGGCAGGGGGACTCCAGGATGCACTGGGTTGGGGTTCCCGTGTGGGGGGAGGTGATGGAGGGCTGGCCCCTCTCCCACCCCACGCCCACTGGGCTGGGTCCCTGCAGGGTCCTCCAGGGCGGACCACACAGAGCAGGGGCCGTGATGGGGCCGCACCTGCGACTTGCCACTGCCCGCGTTCCCGATGACAAACACTGAGTGCCGCACTTGCAGCAGCTCCTCCAGCTGCACCACTTTCAGCACGAAGCTGTCTTCCGCCTGCAGCTTGAGTTCCACGATGCTCTGCTTGATGATCTGGGGCGACATGGAGAGGGTGGGCGCGGAGACTCTCTTTTCAGTGTGGGGGTGTGTGGTGGGGCTTCCTGCCCAGTTGCTCTCCCATGTGGATGTGTTCGCAGGTTCTGCTATTGACACTACTGAGAATTCTCCTGCTCCACTGCAGGGGGTGGATTCGCCCGAAGCCCCCCAGCCCCAGTCCCTCATGTGACCTCCCCAGCATTGAGAGGGTGGGACTGGCCAGGGCTAGAGAGGCCGCTTGTGGCCCCGGCGTCTTTCTCATAGCAAAGGGAGGCATGCATATGTGACCCTCTTGGCCCAACAGATGTGGGCCTCGTACCCCAAATGTTGCATTTGCCACTTGGGGACCAATTCAACATATGCCTGGAAGAAACATCCTAGGCAGGGAGGAAGCCCCTGGTGAGGCCCAGGGAGAACTACCTTTTCAAAATTCAGGTCTCGTTTCCGAGGCACGTCCAGAGCTGGGAAGAGGTCCCCGATCAGCCCCATGAACACGGGCAGGTCGTCGGTCACGATCTTGGGGATGTTGAAGTCTCTCAGTGCCCTCATGAGTACCTGGTCCTCTGCCCGGCTGGGGTCCCCCCTCTTCAGGGAGCCGGCCACCACCAGCACAGACTTAATGGCTCGCAAGCCCCAGTCGTAATGATCCTGTGGGCAGCAGGGACAACGGGCAGACGTGAGCTCACCGCTGCCAGGCCCAGGGCAGCTCGGGTGTCAAGGAGGGCCAGGACAGGGGCTGGCGTGGTGCTGGGATGTGTGGAATCCTCACCAGGAGGGTCTGGAAGGCAACCTTGGCCGCTGCCTGCATTTTTAACTGCCCCTCCCCTGCCTCTCCCCCACCCCTGGCTCTGTGAGCTCCAGGACGCCGTTAACACACACCTGCTTTGACAGCAACTCTTTGCACAAGGTGTAGAGGGTGATGAACTTCCTGGCCAGCAGACGGGCCTCCAGAAAGCCCTCGGCCACCAACATGATCTCGCATATCAGTTCAAAGTCAGGGACCACCATGGCGCAGGGCCTGGGGAGATCAGCAGGTGGCCTTAGGCTTCCCTCCCACCTCCCTCTCCCACTCCACACCCCCACCTGTCCCTCCTCACCTAGGAGAGCACACCTCACCTGTCAGGTGGATCACACATACTGGTCAACCTTCTAGGGCTGTGGCTCCCCCAGAACCTGGGGGTTCCCAGCCCCCACCCTCCCCTCCCCACTTGTTCCCCCCACGCCCTGTGCAGGGTGCCTCCAGGCCCTGCCCTTGCTCCACTCGACTCCTCTGAGAGTCACCCTGAACCCTGCCTTCCAGCATCCTGTACCAATGGGCAGATGGCATCTCTAATGGGCACCTCCTGCATCGGGGAAGACAGAGAGCTTTTTTTTTTTTTTCCTTTTTGTCTTTTTTCGTGTCCGGCAACGGATCGCAACCCTCAGTGTTGCGCCCGTACCGGACCGGGACTGGCAACGGGATCACAACCCTCGGTGTTG